TTTTCAAGATCAACATATATTCAAATATTTCAGTGTCACACTTTCACATACCTGTCCAACATGTCGCAAAATTCTTGAAGAGGCCACTGATTCGCCACTGTATTTTAGCTGAAACGCACATAAAATGCATGAGCATTCAGTGGAAATTGACACAAAATGTTCAATATGAATCAAACCAATACACTCGCTTACTTTGTATGCAGCAAGTGCCTCGTCTTGCTCCTTCAAAATGTTAAGTTTCTGTTCTGTTGAACATGGGTCATCACCCAGATCAACTTGCCTAAGGATAAAACACATTATCAAGGGTTGTCTACTTCACCATAATATCATATTGTTTGCAAACTCAGAATATCTATGTGTCATACATGTTATATAATCACATGGAGCAACACACCAGCAGATATGATTGGTTTTCTCCTTTTGTTGGACCTTCTTTAAAAATGCAGCTTCCTTCATCTCACTTGTCTGGTCTGCAACCTTGGTATAGGACATGGCTTCAATAAATAAAACACAAAGGTATCTTGCATTAAATAAATATAATTTGTGGTCACATCGATTCATATTTGATTAGTTTTATGTTGTTTGACAAATCCAATCCAGATCTGTTCATGTACGGTTTAAAATCTGATTAAATCCGTAAAATTGGATTTCAGTGTTTCGGCCATAACAGTCAGACTATAATTCAAGGCTTTTGTTATTCAGTATATATAACATATTTAACATCATACACACCGCATTGGGTAAGACATGTTGCTGAGAGTCGGGTAAGTGCTGTCATCAGATTTTACTAGAATTACACACAGAGTGATGACACTGACAAGGGCAGCACAAAATAAAGTGGTACATATGAACCTTCATCTCACTTGTCTGGTCTGCAACCTTGGTATAGGACATGGCTTCAATAAATAAAACACAAAGGTATCTTGCATTAAATAAATATAATTTGTGGTCACATCGATTCATATTTGATTAGTTTTATGTTGTTTGACAAATCCAATCCAGATCTGTTCATGTACGGTTTAAAATCTGATTAAATCCGTAAAATTGGATTTCAGTGTTTCGGCCATAACAGTCAGACTATAATTCAAGGCTTTTGTTATTCAGTATATATAACATATTTAACATCATACACACCGCATTGGGTAAGACATGTTGCTGAGAGTCGGGTAAGTGCTGTCATCAGATTTGACTAGAATTACACAGAGTGATGACACTGACAAGGGCAGCACAAAATAAAGTGGTACATATGAGCTAAAGAATGGCCTTAGAAGTTCAGAAAAGCTCCACTGTAAATGGCCATTTTCAGGTCGGGTAACTTGCAAAAGGGGCATGTAATTGGTAGACTATTAAATGGAGCGCTATTTATTATTATCTAAGCTCCACTCTGCTAAAAGGACCAGATTAGATCAGCAGCAATTTCCATGCTGGTCCGGGAAAGTTTTTGATTTAAAGTGCAAGTTTGATGCTGGTGGACCACCATAACTCTTTGTCTTTTGTAGGGGCAAAAACATCACTCTGGTTGACCAATTCCAGTTAAAAAGCTTGGTGGAAACATCAGCATTCCAGCACGCAGATACTGTAGCCTTTGCCAAACTTTAATTTTCTGGGTTTTAGTTCTTAACATGCACCTCAGAGGCCCTCTGGATGAGAAATGGTGTTCTTACCCTCCCGGAGGTCCTTGTATCTCATTTTGTCTTGTGGCTGGAGAAGCATTTTAACAAGTCCTGCATGAGTGGTGACATCTGTGGTGGAAACCTGCAGTTCTTGTGAAATTTATTTTTCTTACAGGTCTTCTTGCCTTAAAAGAGCAAAAACAGAAAATCATGTTCGTATGCATGATGAATCACTTTAATTTAATTTTAATTAGTAGTAGTAGTATTAGTAGTATTACCAACATTGATCATTTCATTATATATTTTTAATCTAATAGACTTGTAATATAGAAATTGCATACTTTAAACAATAACACAGTTAAAAGCTTTGCAGGCTTATGAGTGTAATTCTGTGTATGTGTTTCCCACATTTGATGGCTTACAGGTTATATGGTCAATTCAAATTCAATTCAATAAGCTCAGTGCAAACAATAAAATTAAATTTGTGATTCAGTCTCCCACAAACCTTTCTGCTACTGCTTTTAATGGGCCGAAATGAAACTGACCTAAGCTAATTCAAATTCCTGCATCTGTACAGCTTAAAACTTTTCAAACCCTGTTGAAAAAACCAGCACAACCTTTTTTTGGATTCTGGTTGTCTTGCTCAGCTTGAAAGACCAATATTTTTGCTGGTGAACAGCATGGCTTGGCTTGTCCTCCAGTAAGATAAACACCAAACTAGCAATGAAATGCATGGTGATTAAAGCTGATCTTTTCAAAATTGACACAAGTTTCAGAATACCTTCTCCAAGGAGGGAGTCGTTTTAAGTTTATAATGGGAAGTAATAGCCGGAGATTTTCCTTCAGAAGTCTTCTGCTCTTCAACCAAATTATCATCATCCTCGCATGTCCATCAGGTTTACTGAGGCACAGAAAACACAAATGCCATTAATGTTTGTGCAAAAAACATCTGATCATTAAGGCTGTTGCTATGTGGTTGCTAAAGTGCTATGAGTGTTTTGAACATATTGCATTTGGCATTGCTATCGCACTGCAATCTTTAAAGGGGACATTGAATGAAATTTTCACTTTTTTTTTATAGCTTTTTTTGCTTTTAGTTAGATTTCTGAAGTGTTTGCCAGCTCAGAAAAGCTGAAAAGAAAACACGGTTATCATCATCCTCGCATGTCCATCAGGTTTACTGAGTCACAGAAAACACAAATGCCATTAATGTTTGTGCAAAAAACATCTGATCATTAAGGCTGTTGCTATGTGGTTGCTAAAGTGCTATGAGTGTTTTGAACATATTGCATTTGGCATTGCTATCGCACTGCAATCTTTAAAGGGGACATTGAATGAAATGTTCACTTTTTTTATAGCTTTTTTTGCTTTTAGTTAGATTTCTGAAGTGTTTGCCAGCTCAGAAAAGCTGAAAAGAAAACACGCAGCCAGTTTGTTATGGGCTGTCTGAGTCTGAAAAGGTGTCATCCAGTGAGCTGTTTCAATCTGCAGCCAGTTTCTATGTAGATAGCTAGCTAACTGAATAAAGCAGTTTAAAACAGGACTACCATCTCAATGGTCCTAAAACGTGCTTTATTTTCTTTATGAAAAACATTATGTATTTATAAGCAAAAAAGAAAACAATAATAATGAAATACAGCCTAAACATTTCTTGACTGTTTGAGTTCAGTACTAAAATATTCTGTAATATTATAGGTTGATGGTTACCTTTTTGGTGTACTTAATTTGGAAATGCTTTGTCAAAGGGGGTGCAATGTGAACACTGAGCACCTCCGAGGATACATTGCCGAGTTTCTTGGGGAAAACAACAACGACAGCTTTTTACATTACATCATATTCCTCCCCTTCTGTAATGTTTCTTTCAGTAACAACATGAAAAGTTTCCCTCTGACCACAGAGTACTATGTGCAAATTTCTCCAGTGAAAACTTTTTGAATCGATGAATCTTTTTGTTTTAGATCAACGACACAAACGATAAGTCACATTGTATGACCATTACATGAGCCATGTAAACATTCCACAAAACTTTTCACACACAAAAAATGAATTCTATTCCTTTTTAGCGAGAAGTGAAAAACCAACCAGAATCTTCCTGTAATCCTTTCCTACTTCAAAGCCACTGAAATGCAGTTCTAATGCTTCAGCCTGAACTACACTGTTACACTTCAGTTTGGCAAACACCCCTGAAAAATAAACATACAAAGACACAATAATAAACATACAAAGAATTATATATCAATGTGAAATTACATAAGTCTATCAGTTTCATAAGATAACAGTAATGTTCGTGGCCAGTTAGACAGCTACAGGCATAATGTTTAAGAAACAAACATTTGAAAAAGTGGTCTCACTAGTTTCCAGAAGGTGATGGGGGACATTTCCACTCTTTCTGGTGTCCTCCAGTAGCTGGCTGAGAGGAAGCAGGGTTTTTTTTCTTTACACTCCTGGAGTAAGTCTCAGGGGCAGAATGAACCACCTCCATGCCAGCTGGACTTTACAGAGATTCTTTATCATAACAAATAATCCACAGCTGTGAACTGATAGTTGACATGCCATTCAAGCAGTGTCCTTCAGTGTGACATTCAGCACTTTGTCATGTACTCTTGTAAACAACATTTTTCAAATTCTTGTATAATGTGAGTTTTAATGTTCTCATATTAACTGAGAGACTACATGGAATATAGAATAGTCATATAAACATTTTAACCTAAAGTCTTGTTGTTTAATTGAAAAAATGTCCATGTTATTTTATTACTCCTTATATCCACTAGTATTTACCATTTTATAGTTTTGTGGATGTCCCATCTCTCCTACTTAGCTTTACAGCTTTAACACATTTATGGAATTTCTATTCATATTATCTCTCCTGGACTGACAACACCGCAGCACTGGCCAAGAAAGCACAGCAGCGTCTCTACTTCCTCCGCAAACTGAGAAGAGCCAGAGCCCCGGCCCCCATCATGTGCACCTTCTACAGAGGCACCATCGAGAGCATCCTGACCAGCTGCATCACTGTGTGGTATGGCGCCTGCAACGCATCCTGCCGCAAGACACTTCAACGCATAGTGAGAGCATGACTTGACTTGACTTGACTTGACTTGACTTGACTTGATATTAGAGCAAATAACGGAGGAAATGTCCCATGAACGGTTTGTTTTTAAAACCGTACCGGAAGTCAGAAACCAAATGATCATGTTTTTCATGAAACCAAAAAAAGGGGCAAAATATTTTCTAGACCTAAATGAAATTGATTAAAAATATAAAAAATGTCAAGTTAACAATTACATAACATAAGAATGTGTAAAGTTTAGTTCTAACAAAATGATACAACTATGCTATAATTAAATTAACTGGGCCAACAACATTTATTATGATATATTTCACTATTTTACAACAACAATACAACCATTTATAGGCATACAATGATATCAATTTCTCAGAAAGTACATTCAATTATTAGCATGAGTAAACAATGCAAGAAATTATATACAACAGACAGCCATTGCACCACTGCATAGAGTTATACATATATACATAACAAATATAAATTATATAGTTGCGGCAGTCAAGATCATTCTTAAGTAAATAAGTTCATCTCAGCTTGTTGATAATGGTGGGGTTCAGAGCTTGCGCCAGCTATGTTGTAGTAACAAGGCTGAGTGCTAGTGGAGCCTCTGAAGCAGGGTTTGTTTAAATTAGTAAATAATGAGTTTTTCAAGCATAAGGGATAGAGATGGTTAGGGTAAAAAGCAGGTGCAGGATTCATGTGCATCAGGAGTTTGTAGTCCTCTTCCACCTCTTGAATTGGGGCGAGAAGAGACGGCAACCCACACTCCTTGTCCTCTGAGATCTTGTTTTTCTCGCTGAGCTCTTCATATAGATGGTGCTCAGATATGGTACTGATTTTATCATGCTGTTCTTTCTGGTGTGTAGAATGTTGGGTTGCCTCAGCATTCCAAAATGATGGCACGAATAGATTCTACAAAGAAATATATGTTAAATATATGGTTTGTAAGCAATATTGTTACTGTTAACAAACAATTTTTTAAGTGATTGAAATAAAGCTGAAACTTAAATGAAAATTATAAAGGTTGCCTAGAAACAACTGCTAGCAAATTTCACAAACAATCACAAAGACATATCAAATAACACATTGAATAAAAATGAAATTCTGAAGTAGAAAACCTGAAATGGTATTTTCTTGTAAAATGTACTCCAACAATCTTTTTTTTTAACGACTGAATTTTTTGTACTGTGTAGAAAAGAAATAGCAAGTAATAGGCTGAATGAAACATGACATTTTGAAGTAGAAAAATTGAAATATTCTTTAAGTATTGAAAATACGTACGTATTTTCATGTCAAATGTACTTTAATAAACTTCGTTTTATTTATAGCTTAATTTTTTTTACAGTGCAGCTGAAACATGTTTAAGTTGAAGTACAACATTTTCTAAAACTAAATCGTGCAGAAATGTTAGGAGAAAAAAAACAAAAATGACAAAAGCACTAAAACTAAAAACAATCTTACTAAAACAAATCAAAAGGAATACTGAAAATATAAAAATAAAGCTAATTCAAAATCTCAAATTCCATTTAATTAAAAAATAACAGTTTTTTTTATGGTCAGATAAGAAAAGTTGTGTGCGTTACACATCTATATATAATGCGTAGTGGATTCACATGAGATGTATACCTTGAGAAGTTCTGGTAGTTTGGTTTTCGGGTACAGGAATCTGTACACTTTATAGATCAGCCAGGCGGCCAGGATTGCCAGAGGAAGAAGGATGGCAGCAACAATCACACAGCTGATGAGCACTAATGCAAACACACAGAGAGAGAAAGATTGGCACCTTGGAATTCACCTTGAAGCTTCTCAATAGGAAACTATTCTTTTGAGTCACTTGAATTATTGATTAAAAAAAACGTTGCTTCTTGAATCTGCTCTCCTGAATGAATGCATACTTTGTCAATTTGACCCAATACATTTTAATTAAGGCATAATTTGTTAATAGAAATTACACTGTAAAGCACAACATTATGTATACTTTTATATAATTTTAGATTGCATACCATACTATTAACTACTTTACACTTACACTCTATTTGAATCTTATTGAATAGATTATTGTATGATTATTGCTTAATTGATTTATCGCAGGGTTGATTGAAATACTTTGAGTCACAGGTGAAGAAACACTTACCAGGTATGTTAGTCACACATACGGCAGAACTGAACGGTTTGACATTTCTGTAGCCTTTGGGAACCAACATAGCCTGTGCACAATATCTGCTCCAGGAATGTAGTCCTTTAATACTCAGTTTAACATAATCTTCATTGGTTTCGGCAACCTTCTTCTCCATTGCCTACAGGGACAAAGTTCATCTTATGATTATTGAAGATATTTATTTTTGATATTTTATATTACATAAAACAGTGTGAGAAAACTGGAAATAGATTATTTTCTGTTCATTATATGTAATGGTGATACTCATAAAAAAGTTAATAAATACTTAAAATTGTCTATTTATCAATCCAGCATGAACCATTCACTTGTATTAGTCAATAAAAATATACAGTATATGTATAGAGAGAGAGAGAGATAGTTAACATGCTGAAATCCAATGTTATTTTAGAATCATTGAGATACTGTTAGTTTTTATTAATATTTAGAATTAGTTTTTCCTTTGTATATTTTCATTTTAATTTAAAAGGTGGAGTAATTTTACTGCAATTTACTTTTATAGTTTTTTCTTATTTCTTTTCTATAGTTTTTAATAATTCTTATTTCAGTTATGGTACGTCAAGTTAAACTAAACAAAAATGAGAAATTAATTGGCAACTAACTGAAACGGTTTTTAATATTTCACTTAATTTCAGTTAACATTAATTTTTTTTCTTTCAAGTACATAAGCATAATCATATACCTTAACTTGCACATGAGCAGAAGTGTATAACAAAGATGTCTGAGGATTCAAAACTTTCAAAAAAAAAAAAAAAAAACAATTCCACTGTTACAGAAGGATATATGCATTTTTATACCTCCTCTTCGAAGCCTTCGGTCCAGTATCTGATGATGTAGGACACTTGTGAAAACACGTCTGCAAGTTTGCCCACTTTCAGCATTGGAGCTTGGACATGCACATCCAAGGTATTATTTTGGATGACAAGATGCACAGTAGGGGGTCCTATGATAGCTACAGGGGAGCAAAGTAGTTCATATAATTATTATTGATGAAAATTATTTTGACTTAAAAACACAACAGAGTCTATAGTGGAAACTTAGAGCTGATTCTCACTTACAGTGCTTATATGGTGAAAATTTGTCTGTATTAACCCACTCAGAGAACAGCCCCTGATCCTCTGCCCGCACTTGAAAAATATAGCTCCCAAATACAGATGGCAGTATTCCTACATCACATTTCAGCTCTTTGGTGTTCACACAGAGGGAAAAGTCATTTTTTCTCAGGCTGCAAGGACAGGATAACAAACACAACAGACACAATATTTACGTAAGCATGCAAGGCAAATGTGTTATTCATGCAAGTAGAATAGGCCTATTCTTTTCAACTTCTGCAAAACCTCAGAAGTATGAGATTCCAGCAGAACAATAGTTCAGTGACTTTTAGCTAGTTATGGTAGGTATATTTCATAATGGCATGCATGCATTTGTCGCTAGTTTATTTTTTCTTCTATATTGGAGTATTTAAGATGTATTTCGAGTGTATTTACATATATCTTGCCGTGTATGTCACGTTACTCATGGGATTGTGTGGAGATGTCCATTCAACAACTGCAGCCATATTGACGGAGGTCACCTTCACATTCTGGGGTGCAGCCACTTTTGCTTCTAAAGTAAAACAGTATAACCAATGTCAGTAATACATCTGATAATGCAGTTTTATAAAGAATTATGTAATATATAAAGTACTCCATAATGTATTTGGATTAAGTATTATAAAGTATATAAAGTACTACGAGAGTCCAAACAGCTGATAAAAACATCAAAAACAAATCCATCAAGAAGTTTTTAACTTCAAATCATTGCTTCTGGCTAAAAAGTGGTGCACTAAATGCAATATTGCTTTCTCCAATGAAAAAGTCATCTCCTCTGAATCAGGAGAGAAATATGCACAGATGAAGCACCATTTAAAAACAGTTTTAAAGAAAAACGTAGAAGGATTTTGATGTAAGAGGACAACGGGTGTTATTATAGACTCATATTTTGGACAGAAGCAATGGTTTAAATGCTTTAATGCTGGATTTATTTCTTACAAACACAAGTCGTGAGGGGAACTTTTCCCTTTTCATATTCAATAGGTCCACAAGAAATACTGCTATGATCTGTGACAGTCGTAAATACATGTATCTTTAAGTAAAACATGCATCTTTGTGCAACATATTTACACTTTGTGCAACATCTGTGTTTCCTCTCTGCTACCCACCAGTGGGTCGTGACCCAGTTTGAAACCCACTGCACTAAATAACATTTCTGACGAAATGGCATCCGCAAACAAATAATGCTATTGACAGAATTAACTTTAAAAGTTACTTTTAATCAGTTACTGTCAGATTGGTGTTTGGTGGATGTGTGAAGCCAGTTCACACAGGCATCCTATAGCAGAGGAACCACAGGTGTAGTTCATCACATTAACTATGTTAATGTTCCACTAACCTTTGACAACCAGTGTCAGTTTTACCATTTCAAACATATGTACTATATATTTTGCTTGGAAAGTGTACTTTGTTCTATATATAGACATTCATACATTTTAAAGAGTCTAAATACTTTTGGGACCCTAATTAATGCACCTTGGAGATGAGCATTTAAAAAAAATATCAATTTACACTAGTATCATAAAATTTTGTAATGGTCAAATTAAAATAATAAATAGAAAATTTTTTGTCATCATTTGACTTCAAATGGTTACCTAAAATTAATAATCAATCATAAATAAGCAAGCAATACTCACCAGCATAGGTGGGGTGAACATCCTTTGTCACAAAGAATATGAGAGCCAACAGACTGAGTTTCACAAACATGACTGACAACATCACTGATGGAGCAAGCAGTAGCAGGGATCTTTTAAACCAGTGTCTGTTTGTCATGTGCTCAAGAGGAACAGGAGCAATATGACTCAACAGCTTCCTCTTTGAGATGGGATAATTAAAAAAAAAAAAAACTTGTCACAACAGACGAAAGTCATGAAGGATAAAAATGCTGAGAACTAGTAAAACAGTATTTATTTTTGTGCATTTGCATTTTTTTTTTCTTCAAATGTTGGCATTGATATAATTGATATTCTAATTTACATGCAGATTGACAAACATTTTTTTCATGGAATTTTTTTTTTTAAACCAATAATTTATATTGCGTTTATATAGAGATTCATTCTTGGAAAGTAAAATGTATGACTACCAGGGGGAAAACAGGGAAACTCTACTGTGGTTTGGAAATAAACAGGCTCAACACTATAATGGTTACTGTGTTACTTACCTCACCATTCAATTACAGAAGTGTGAAGCATTTATGTAGTTCAAAATGCAGCTGCTAGAATTCTTACTAAGTCAAGAAAATCCAATCATAAAACCCCTGTTACGTGCCGGTATGTAGCCTATTGTTTTGATATCTCTTTTTCTGCTTTTACTTTCACTTTTATAGTGCCATACCATTGATCCACGCACGACACCTGTTCCCCGTGATCACCTGACGTTTGTTGACCCTCTGTAGATTTCATCCTAAAAGTGTATGTAGGCACAAACGTTTTCAGATTCCTCCCCGAAATCACCAAAAATAAGAGCTTACAACTAGTTTTACTATGCATAACCTCATCTGCATATCATTTCTATGCATATTCCCATCCATGTGACACCATGTTTAACACTGTTAAAGGTACAAGACATTAAGGAAAAACTCATCAAAAATTATGCAAAAACACATTTTATTTTAGTTATTTGAGATGTTATAATTGTTCTCTATTTGTGTTAAAATAGATTAAACAATAATTGGGGGGGCCTGTCATCAGAGTGGGTGGGCCTGTGCCCGTCAGGCCCATCCGCTGCCTACACCCCTGCCTATAGCACTTCTCGCTGTCATTAAAACATAACATACCACAGGGAAAGTAATCAAGCGCATCCACTACAAATAGGCTATGTCTAAATTCATATAATTTTGGTTTAAAGCTGCAGGCCGTAAGTTTTGCCTCTTTGTCGCCATCTCTGTTTGGAAACCTGGAATTGCAGCTGTGTGCGGAATTATCTAGCTTGCGTGGGTTGTGAGTGGGCGCGGTTCCAGTGCAGATAAATCTAATGTTCTGAAGAGTATGTGTGGCAGTCAGTCACCGCACCGGTGTGGATATTTACTGTACTTCGCAAGCACAGATTCTAGCCTGTCTTGGAATATGACCCAAATAAGATTTCACCGTATATTGCCATCTGAACAAGTAACAAGTTTGCCACGTTTGTTCTGACCAACTGAGGAAAAAAGCATTACCATAAATCTTACTACCAATGGTGATTAAATCTAAAGATTGGTTAGCTCATATCACATCAAACCATTCAAATTATTATTATTGTTATACTTTATTCTCAAATTATTAATGTTAACAACATCAGCATTGGCGACTATGAGTATGTGTGTATTAGTGTGTAGATTTCAGTTTCTGCACAGTCTAATCTAATTGTCATACTCTTCGAATTTCATATTAAAGGGGTCATATGATGCGATTTCAAGTTTTCCTTTCTCTTTGGAGTGTTACAAGCTCTTGGTGCATAAAGAAGATCTGTAAAGTTGCAAAGACTAAAGTCTCAAATCCAAAGAGATATTCTTTATAAAAGTTAAGAGTCAGCCCCACCTACCTAAAACGGCTCGTTCTAACCCCCCCCCCCCCACATATCTACATCCCTATGTGGAAATATTAGCATAACGCCACCCAAATGTGCACGCAAAGAAAGGCGGCGTGGTTTCAGAAAGTAGTGTTGATGTAGCCATGTCAGGGAGACGGTGTGTGTTTCAGTGCGAAAGCAAAAGCACTTTTTATTTGGCCTTTCGGAAGTAGATGCAATTAGGAATCTTTGGTTAAGATTTATTTACAACAGAACAGCACAACCCAGATGTTCGAATTTGTGCAACGCATTTTATGGACGACAGTTTTTTGAACCTAGAAGAGTACAAGGCTGGCTGTGCACTAAGGGTATTTCTAAAAAAGGGTAAATTCCGACTTTGCTATGACAATCTGGCGCTTCTGAATCAGCGACTGTAAGTATGTTTTGTTATTAGTTTAAGTATTTGCTATTGACTGTTCAAATGCCGAGTTTTGCGCAGCACAGACTAACTCGTTGTGTGTGAGGGGAACAGGGTCACATCACAGGAGAGTGAACTGCCTGTCAGAAATCATAGCACGTCAGCTGTCTTAACCGCAGCTTGTGTACTGCATCATCACGGTGTCTGTCACACGACTCTGTTGCCCTTTCGGGCTTGAACTGATGGTAAAACTAACGACATTATTAACTGTCTTGATATTTACTTTGAAAGCTGAAGCTCGCGATTATGGTAAGGGACGTTACATTTCCGATGCGTGCTTGTGGTGTTCGGCCAATCACAATGCACTGGGTCAGCTGGCCAATCAGAGCAGACTGCGCTTGTCAAAGGATGGGGCTTTGTTGAAAACGACGCGTTTGAGAGGCGGGCATAGAGGACCTACAATAATGTACAGTATTTGAAAAATAATGTGTTTTTTGAACATTAAAGCATGTCAACATATTTTGTTACACCAAATAATGATCTTTAAAATAGCATCATATGACCCCTTTAAGAAATTATTTTAACCCAAAAAGCAAATTATGCTCCCTTCGAACTGGTTTTCTTTAAAATACAAATCTTTGTAATCCCAGGCTATCTGTAATCAGAAGCACATTTATAACTGGAATATAATTTAATTTCATTCACATGTGTTTCATAAACACAATCCTTTCTGGATTACAATCCGCCATCAAAATGATACATTTAATTATTCTGGCTGCTGTGAGAAAAGGCTATAAACGATCGGCCACTTGCAGGATCCTCACATGCGATAGCCTACTAGCCTGGACAACTTCTTTATGTTTACAGACGTGACGTAATGACGCAGTGCCATGCTCGAATTTCCCGCGAAAACCTACCCGTACCAATCAAATTAGAAAACATTATTATAAACTAATCCTTGTGAATCGGGCTAAAGTAAGGTGAGAGTTTTGAACACTGGCTGGTTATGTACTTGCTCAAATATTGATTCGGATAATTTTTAACCAAAAAAGTTATGGACTGCAGCTTTAACTTCTGCATAATGACTTTATATAATTTCAGTGCTTATCTCCATTAATGAGAGTGGAATATTTAATGTAAATGCATATGATGAAATGAAAACAGTTTCAAATCGTTGTTTACGTCATTATTTTTCTCTCTCCAGGAAAAAAAATCCGTACGCATGGGTCAGAGTTTGCGTGCAGGTGTGCAAATTTTCCCGTCAAGTTTGTTTTTTATAAATCCCACCTTTACGCAACGGTTATAAATGAGGCCCCAGGTGAGCTGAAGCAGGTTGGAAATACAATTTTCAGGACAGTGGGTCCCCCAGGAGTAGGGTTGAAGACCTAGGATTTAAAAAGTATGTAAAACTGACTTTTTAAAGTTAGCCTAATTATCAGATGCTTTCTAGAAGACACGCTCTTTAAAAGACATCTTTGAGATGTGTGTATGCTAGCTGGGGTATTCAAGGTTAGGGAAGAGGACAGGCAAGCAAGTCACGTGATATAGCCTACATTGTGTTTGTATTAGAAACTTTTCCTCGAGTAGCCTAAATGATGAGTGTTGCCATGATGGTTTCAAACTTCCGATTGTATGCTGTCCTGCTCTGGCCTCTTTAGAAACCCATGTTAAAACAGGGTTAAAAAAAAGCAACTGAATTAATAGAACTTTCTGAACATTGCTGAAAACGTAATGTAGAAACGTTCATTTTCTGCAAAGCTGCTGAAACGATACTCTAAAAAATGCTGGGTTGTTTCAACCCAACTTTGGGTCAAATATGGACTAACCCAACTAGTGGGTTAAATTTTTAAAACCCAAAAGATGGGTTAGTCCATATTTGACCCAAAGTTGGGTTGAAACAACCCAGCATTTTTTAGAGTGTAGGTATTGTGAAAAGCAATATACAAATATATGTGAATTGAATTAAAGGGGTCATATTATGCTGCTAAAAAGAACATTATTTGGTGTATTTGGTGTAATGAAATGTGTTCATGCGGTTTAAAGTTAAAAAAACACATTATTTTCCACATACTGTACATTATTGTTTCTCCTCTATGCCCCGCCTTTTTGAAACACGTCGATTTTTACGAAGCTCATCGGTCTGAAAAGCGAGGTGTGCTCTGATTGGCCAGCTATCCAGTGCGTTGTGATTGGCCGAATACCTCAAGTGTGTGACGGAAATGTTACGACCCTTACCATACTGCGATGCCGTGTCCCAGCCGGAGCGACGAGACAAAAAAATTAAAACCCATTACAAACGAGGCATTTGTTGCATCCAGTGGGAACATAATTACTGATTATAATGACTTGTACTGTCTTTTTACACGTTGCGTTGCATCGCGCCGCGTATACATAAAACCCTGTCTGCTTTCTCTTGCGCACTCTCGCTCTCTCTCGGACACACTCGGCCTCACTGGCGAACTGTCACTCTCTCTCTCTCCGCGTTCGCTTCACTTTTGTCCAGCCCGGTGCCTCATAGGTGAAAGCCGATCCAGCGATCCACAGCACTAAGTTGATGTATTTCCTCAGCGACCAGCACGGATCAGCTCTAGGCATGAAGAAGCAGATATCGTCCTCTTTTGGAAGACCAAACAAAATAGTTTCGCTTTCACAACGAAGCACACAGCACCTTCACGACATGGCGGCAGCGGCAACAATACTACAGCGAGAATAAAAGTTACGCCTTCTTTCTTTGCGTGAACATTTGGG